TGTGTCCCAGGGGAAGCAGTTCAGATGCAGCCCTTCCTCGGTTCTTACTTTATTAACATATTAGCTCAGTGCCACAGGAGCAGTGTATTTATACCGGTATATGACACACTGGAAAGGTTTATTTGTAAGTATCGGCGCTAACAATAAGGGCATTCTTCTGTCACCTGATGATAAGCTTTCTTCCCTTCCACTGCGGTCACATGGGATCTCTCTGTAGTCCTGTCAGCATACATATAATTAAAGCAGTCTGCTGTCAAGGAATTGAAGAAAGAACTTGTGTGTTGAATGTAAATATTTTCTGTACCTTATGGAACAAAAAAATGATCAAAGATTGAATGACCTAATTGCAAGGAAGGCACTGATGCAGGTTTTATGAGCGAACCTGTTGCCCAGGAATACTGGTGCAAGGTCATTCTGGTCCTGCGGTGTTCTCCTCCTGTGTTCACATAACAGGCTTTTTGCATGTGTAACTCACCGCCTGTGTGCAACAAACCTGCTCCTGAACAATGCTGCTGTTATGTGCATTTGTGAATAAAAGAAAAAAAGGTCTTTTCCAGAACCCTCTCCCAGTCCTTTTGTAGTTCAAATGCCCAACTTGAAGTTCAGCAGATCTAATTTGCACCATGTTTTCCCTACATTGCTGCACTGTAATAACTCTGGTGCAAAACTATAATTACACACCTATGAAGTGATGCCGCACAAGGGAGGGGGAATCTGGAGTAAAACTCCTTGTGTGTTAGCTCAGATGATGCAGTTGCCCTCCTGCACACAGCAGGACACTCCATCCTTTCCCATTGCTTGTCCCATTTCAGGCTCCCTTACTTCCAAGGATCCCAGTATCCCTGTGCCCTGCAGCCTTCCCAGCACCCACAGAGGAAGCAGGGGTGTAAGGAGCTGAGCCAGGGATATGGTCTGAGGGGAGATGCAAGGGGGAGAGGGAAACTGCCACAGCAGCAGTATCTGAACTTGGCTGCCTGTGTTTCATTCCCAAATCCAGTTGATAAAAGCCAGTGTACATTCCCATGTGTAATCTCTAGGTTATCTGAAGGTACAGGCTATCTGAGGACTTGCTTTCACAGAGGAATAATTTTATCTAGGGTGGTGTGAGAGTCAGGTTTCACATGTGAAAACACAGTAATGCTGTAATTGTTATACCCTGATAACTTATGCCTTCACTGCACCCTTGTGCCAAGCAAAATCCCTGTACTTGCAGAGCACGAGAGCAGAACTTATGTTCCTTTAGCATCCTCCAAACGCTGCCTACCTAATGAAAAGGCCTGTTACTCCATGCACCGACACTGCTGTCCTTTTTGCTATATTCTGCGTCAATACCTTCTGTTCCAGATGGAAAGCATTAGATGGGGAGAAACCTAGGTCCTGACCCCCAGGTAATATCCAATCTGAGCATCTTACCTGGGAGGATGGATGGATAGAGCAGACATCTTGGAGCTGCTCACTCTCTAAGTGGAGAAGCCAGGGAAATTTGTAGACAGAGATCTTGCAAACCTGCTCTGGCTGCTCCTCCAGTCGCTTGCTGTGGATCCCCCAATAGCTCCTGTGCGCCTAGAAGACAGCTGCTGTATTTGCACATTGCAGGCTCTGTTCTTCCATGCTCTCGCTGCATTGCTGGATGTCCCCATCCGGGGGATATCTTTAGACTTCACGCTTGGAAGAAACAGTTTTTGTAAGACGTGTGGCTGCTTTGTCTATGTCATCACATAGTGAACCTCTTGTTTTGTGCAAATAGAGGCATGTGCTTCAATACACAGCTGGAAAACTAAAGTCATTGCCTTCCTCTCCAAAGCAAAGTCCTCCAGAAAGTCGACTCCTGCAGATAACCAACATCGCAAAGGAACAATTGCAAACGCTACCTTCTACTTTACATTTTCATGCCTACTAAAAGTACCAATTACTTTTTTGTAAACTGGTCTTAAGATGTAGCTGTCTAATAAACCATTCAACAGTCAGCTTTTTCTTTTTCCTAAACCTGGAATCTCCGAGGGCGAACAAGCCAAATTCTTACTGTAACGGTTAATCCTCAGCAGTGACTCTTCCTGTTAATCCTCTCTCTCAACCGTCTGGGGCTGGGATACATTACCAGGTAGAAATGAGTCTGCTTATATTCCAGATATGCACTTGCTGTTTGTGCATTCATTACACTTTTACTTACTCCACAAGGATTTCAGCAAGCTCCTAATGTTCTCAAACTGGTCAAAAGCAATGAGCTGAACATGAAATCACAGGTTTTGACTGTAATCATCACTTCAGGATCTTGCTGTTGCATTCTATAGAGACAGGCATGCCTGAAATGAAAAAGTGAACGAATTGAGTGAAAATAGAAAATTATATTACTTTTAATGAAAGGATACATTTATTAAAAAGCATGTTTTCTATAAGGAAACAGCATCTACCTGATATTTCTCACAGTTATTTCTTCCTGTTGAGAATAGTTTTTATTTCCTGGCATTATTGTCTATCATGCAATAAGGATAATAGATGAGCCCTGACATCATTCAAGAATCAAATTAGATCAGGGCAATCTAATGAGATAAACTGAAAGAACAGCCTCTCGAGGGATTGTGACTTCAAGCCTGAAGTGGGATACAGTGGCTTTGTTTTGCTCATATAATGCCCTCTCCTGCCACCAGTATAAAGGATTAGAAAGTTCTTTTGCACAGCATCTTGTGTTTACCTTCAAATTCCATTTGTGTTGCATTTGAAATGAAACTACAATTCTGAGATCTTCCAGGATGTCTGGTCTTCCCTGCACTTTCTCAGGAGTCACCCTGAACTCTCACATAGTCACACACATGCAAGTATTTTCACACCAGATCTCAAGAAAAATGCTGATTTTTGGTGCAGAACTGGAACAGAAATTGATTGTTCATGTGGTTCCTTGTGAATTTCTAAGTATGGTTACATACTGCAAGTTTTTAGAGGAAAAAGTACCTGCCATTTTAGCACGTAGGCAAGGCAGTCTCATTCTGCAACCCTAGCAGAAAATCGCTCAGAGGGTGCTGTGGAGTGGTGCTGGTACCAATTTTGCTCTTCTCCTCACTAAAATAAGGGCAGCACCTTTGGTGGATGAGCTTTACAGCAGTGCGAGCTCCTGTGCAGCCCGTACACTCACATCTGCATGGATTCACTAAGGCAAGATTCAGCTTTCACTCTTTTGATAACCAAGCCTTGCGGAGGAGATCCATCCTCATCATGTTTCTAATTTATTGTCCATGTACAAACTTGAGGAAAAAATGTTCATGCCTGTGTTATACATGGACTTCAAGGCTAAAAACTCAAAAGTAAGAAGTACAGCTAAATACTAAAAAGTCTGAAAAAACAGCTCCTCCTCCCCAATTGGTTTGGGTTTCTTGTCCTCACTGCTTAAAACTAGCAGTACAGAGGCAGAGGTGCAGTCCCAAAAGCAGCTATTTAAAACAATAACTGTGGTCACATCAGTCTCACTAGAAAACCTGACAGGAGAAGGATTAATAACAAAACTGTCCTTTCTGAATATCAGTGGTCAGCATAACTGTAGAAGGAGCTGGGGATGATGATATATCAGTTTTACAACATTTTACAGCTCTCGGTGGAAGATGGCTCAAAGGCTTCTCTCCTGAAAGCTGCTTGGTTTTCCCACGAGTCCAGGTCCAGGTTATCACCTACAGCCTTGGCTGGTGCTGCACACTGTCCAGTGCTCACTTGAGTGCTCATGACCTCCCCCTTGACAATCAATTCAAACAACTGCAATACACTCAGTACTGGCTATCAGCGAGCAAAGCATCAAATCCTGCTTGCTCTTGCCTCTTTATATAGTACTCTCCCTACAAGAAGTTGACACGAAGGTGTAGCAGTCTGCTCCTCAGCAGAGATTCCTGTCCTTTGCCACTGAGCAACAAAAGCCGGTGCTTGGGTAATGCAGTGATGAGCATGGTAATGATAGGTCCATCTTTGTTGGTACTCTGCACCATCTTGTGGCTAGCAGAAAAACACCAGAATAGCCTCTGAAATCTTCCACTTGTGTTTTTTTTTGTTTGTTTGTCTGTTTGGGTTTTTTTGTGTGTGTTTTTCCTAATGAAAAATACAGATTGTCAGTGTACACAGATAAAATTTGGTACAGCTGATGTGGGTGTCTGCAGGCTGGCTTACGAACCAGCAGAAGGGGAGACCATAATCACAGGTAAGGATGTTGTGTGCAGGTCCTGTAGCACACATAAATTACCTATCTGTAGGAGACTCACTTGCATTTCCATGTATCTGGAACAAATCAGATATTCTAAGTCTTAAGTATTGAAAAATAGTTAAGAATGTCCTGATCCCAATGATCTCTGTTGTTCCAAGAAGTGTTTGTTATTGATCATTAAAGGTTTTCCTGTATTCTCCTGTAATTCCTTTGCCTCTTTCAAAGAAATATTTTGAAACAGAATTACAGGTTTCATCATCATCATTAGTAACATTGTCTTCATTTGAAAGTTTGTTTTCCAGCCTCCCATGAATAGACTCAACATTACATTGTACAGGGCAAAGGTTATTCCAGTGAAGATCATTTATGGTAAACACAGCCTTTTTCTTCCACAGGAACACATTTTCTCCCATCCTCCAAATCATAATAGATGTCAGATTGAGACTGTGTTTTCAAAGGAGTAGAAGGGCATCAGCTATCCTTGAATTTCAGTGTGACAAGGATCAGACTCTCTTGTGTTCTATGGAAAATTTCTGCCCACATACATAATAACAAAGGTGGGGGAGCAGGTGATAGGTTAACCCCTTACTGCCAAACGGACGGTTTCCTTTGTCAAACCTGTGTCCCCTTTTAGAGGAGGGAGATGGGATGACGCTTGGTGTGATCTGGGATTGCCATTTATGCTTCTTTTCCTGCTCCCCATGGCGATTTGGGAGTTTCCAACAGGCACCACTTACTTTCCCCCCAGCAGTCACGCAGGGCAAAATGGGTGATCATGCAGGATTACAATGTTCCTCACAAATCTCTCTCTTTTAAACAGAAAAAATGGCCCCACAGGTGGGGTCCTCACCCCCTGCCACTTTGCTGCAGAAGGACGAAGAACAAGTTAGCAGATGCATGATGGCCAAGAGGGTGAAAATCATTGCAGAACTCATGCAGACAGAGAAAGACTATATCAGCAACCTGGATCTCTGCATCAAGGAAGTGATTCAGCCCCTGAGAAACAAGCAGGTGAGTGCCAGGGGCAGAGGACAAGGTGGTGATGTCAAGGTCTCAACTCACCCACGTTCTGCTTGCAGATTGTGTTAGTGCAAGCACAAGTGTCAGTGTGAGAGTGATGTGGTGCTGAGAGTGGGTCCAGAGCTGGCTGTCTGGAAAGGGATGTGCCAGGGCTCCCATGAGGAGAGCAAGAAGTCAGCTATGCTCCTGACAGTTGCACAGCACTTGTGTAAAGCCTGCATCAAGGTACTTGCCCAGAGGGCAGTTTGGCTGCTTATATACGTGTTTGTGAGCTGCAATAGCAGCTTTCACCTCTCCATATTGCTCTGTAATCATAACCCCTGGTACCTGCCCTGACAGACCTTTACTGGCACCTCCAAAAGCTGTAGAAACCAATAAAAAGTATTTTCCATTATAACAACCTGGAATGGGATGAACCTGCCCATCACGGTTAAATTCAGTCATAAAGATAATTTAATCCAGCCTTTCAGACAGCTGTGGTGGAGAAGTGCCATGCCTGAGAGCTCAGTGAGCACTTCAGAAATTTGTGTTCTACACAGAAAAGGCAAATTTAAGAAGGGAGGTTTATAAACTATCTTTCAGGCAAAAGATCTTATTAGGCCAATGAGACCCATTTTCTTTTTCATCTGAGACTTCAAAGAGCACATTTTCCTCAACAGTATTTCAATTTATAGAAAAATTGTGTAGCCGCAAGCTGGGAATAGAAGAGGTTGTCCAGAGAAAGATGCGTATTTGTGGAGCCTGCAACATAGCAATCACAGAGGCTGCACAAATGGTACCTGCTGCTAACACAGAATAAAAGTAATTGTCAACAGACCTTAACCTAAGTATTCAGTACGTACCATTCTTTATGAAATTGGCGGCAAAATACAGGTACAGGGGGCAAAGTGTCTTTAGATGACGTTGGCGCTGCCTCTTCAGGAAATGCAGTGGCCAGTTGAAGCCTGTGTTGTTTAAGCTCCTGCAGGGCCTTTTTAATTTCTTAAAACTCTGTCGGAGTTTGTTCCAACCCATTTTCAGAAGAGCTGGCATCTGCTGGCCTAACTTTAAGGAGTTCTTGACTTCTTCCTGCTCACTTTTCATCTGCTTAGAAGTAGTCTCCACTTGACTCCCTCCCCAGCCTGGCCAGCACTGAGCAAGGTCATTCCTTTGCTGTGTTCCTTTGCTCTTTTCCAGCCAACTGAAAACAAATGTTTCAATTCTGTCCTTTGTCACTGTATTAACATGAGTAAGTGTCCATGCACAGCGTAGTTCCAAATCCTGTGTAGGCATTGTGCTGGAGCACAGATCAGAAGTCCTGGGCTAGATGTATACAGGAAAAGTAATTTAGAGATTATAACTGTCTTAACTTAATAACCTCTGCATTTTCGAAAGGCTTTCAAGAATGTTGTATGGTTTTAAGGCTAGTTCTCGGATAAACTACCGTATTGAAAGTTTGTAATGTGTTTAGAGAAAGATAGCATTTAGAAAATTGACCTAGCAATGAATGTTTCATATTTCCAAATGGATAAAACATGTTTTAAACCCTATTATACTTATGAAGAAATTAACTGCATTAGTACTGAAAGTATATTTCTGATTCTGTTAAAATACCACGCAATTTGATCCTGCTGGCATCTGGTAAGCTGCTATGTAAGTCAGCAATTCTGTTTCTAATGGAGAGACCTGTTCAGAGGGTATGTTGAAATCAGTCTTCCCTTTGTTCTCAGTATTAGCACATTATCACTGGCTATCTCCAATTGTCCCTGAATACTAACTATTGCCCTGCTGTGCAAGGAAATAAATACCTACTTTATGAAAAGTACGTGTCCTGGAAATTTTTTACTTGCTCTAAAATGAGTAGGAACATGGAACCAAACTTTCTGTTGGTGTAAATTGATGCAGTTCACTGAAGTCAATGTTGCATGCCCAGGCTCTGTAGGAAGCTCTTTAGGTTATATTAATACCCAGATTGCAAATGTGTTTGTTTTAGTGGAAATTATATGATCTTGGTTGTATTTTTGGATTTATAGAACAAGTAACATAAAATGGTACCACCATCTGGAAGCCTTTGTACCTGGTAGCTGGCACCAAAGCGCCAAGGTCTCAGTTTATATAACAGCCTCTGTTAGCAACTGGTAATCAGCGAATCAAACCCACTGTCAACTATTGTCTTCCTCAGTGGGAAAGTAAGCAAACATTTTAAAGCCAGCTAAGGATCTTTTCTTTATTCAGATGATAATATTTATTTCCTTCCTAGGTAAACACTTTTGGATTAGGAATAGTTCAAAATAAGGTTAAAAGCTCTTGATATCATGCCCTTTGTTAACTGCGGCAACCATATTACACTACTCTGAAAACTGTATACGTGTCCTTGAAGTCACAAGGAGGATGTTTATACAATGTTTTGCAGAAGCGGTGCTTCCTGGAGTGTTGAACACTCAGGGCATAGCAAGAGAAGGTCTGTAATACACAATGTCCTTCTTTATCCTTTGTCAGTAGACGCTTAATATTTGTATTGCATTAGATTGCTCGCTTTGACGTGGATGGCTTGTTTAGCAACATTGAATTGGTCCATCAAGTATCAGCCAAACTGCTGTCGCTGTTGGAAGAAGCCACGACAGATGTGGAGCCACCCATGCAAATGATCGGTATGACTGTCCTCTTGAGTTCTACAAAGCTACCAGAAAGAATAAACATAACAGTCTCCTCACCCTCATCAGATTTAACTAGTACCACTCCCAGAGGCTAACATGCTACAAGCTTTCCATAATGACACAGGAAAAATGACACGTGAAACCTGTCCAGTTGCTCTGCTCTACTTGTATGATCATGATGTCTTTTTCCATCCATCTGGATGTTGAGGGGAAAGAAGGAGAGAGTGAGTTTAGCATGAGTAAAAACTGCAGTGCTGAGTTATGCCACATTCTGACAATATCCTTTTCATTCAGTTTGACATTGCCTACCTAACTCTGCTCACGCTTACACCAGCTCTTATATTGCGTACTCATAATTGTAACACTCACAAAAAGCGTCAAAAAGATTGGAATAACAAACATGTCACACCTCCCCACAAACACTGTAAACATGGATCTACTGGCAATACAATTCATGTAAGAAGTGGTTAAGGCACATGGTCAGTAAAGGCAAGAAAGCTGTAATTGACAGGAAGTTTGTGGGAATCTGTGCAGGAATTTTCGGTGGGGATCATGGGTATTTTCAGCAAATGGATTGCCCCTGGATATATCACAACAGTCACATGTTCTGCAGGTCAGGCCATGAATGTTAAGAACGTTATGTCTAGTCACTTGACATTCTGGCACAGCTGGAGAGGTTTAAGAAGTTATCACTCATCAGCTCTCCCATAACTGCTTTTTCAGTGCACAGGCAGTAGGTGATCCACCTTAAGGGATCAGGTGAGAACTCTTAATTTGCTTCAGTGCAGTCAGCCAGTTTAGTTTAAACTAAATTGACCACATACCACGGGTAACGTTATGGAAAAGACCCTTCTTCTCACAAATAATGGGGTAAAAAATTACTGGTTGCCGTTTGACTAATAAACATGACATTAAAGCATATGAGGCTTGGGAAAAGTATTAATCCTAGCACATCTCAATCTGGTTTGCCAAGGCAACAGCTTAACATAGTTTGATGTGACTGTGTTGTTTGGCAGTATTTCAGTAAAAGTGCATCATGATGAGTCATACCCTTAATAAGCAATGTTCTATTCTAGCAGGAAGTGCCTTTCTCACAGCCAAGAGAATAATTCTTTTAGTTCCCTGCCATGTCCAGAACTAAAGAGAAACAACTTCATCCATCTATTAGGGTGTATTTCTCCAGAATCAGACAAAGAACCATGAAAATGTATGGGATTGTGGATCACAAAGTTGACTAAATTATGGCAGGAAAAAGATGGCAAGTAAGGTTTGAGATGTTCTTCCAAAGGCTGAGACAAAAGCAGGGAGAATAATTGTACCACTATAAGCAATAAGTTCATAAGTTTGTTATCCTCTAAAAGTATACAAGGTGATAATTTTGTCTCTGGGATCAGTGTAAAAGCTGTTAAAGCCAGTCTATAGAAGGAGCAGTCTGAGGATCTGTTCAATACACTGATCACATTTTATCATGTTTATGGTTTTAAAAATCTTGCATTGAAATATCTTACTTTGGAAGGCAACCCAGTTGTGGTGAGGTTGAGAACTGCTAATTCACTAGTTTGAAACCAAAATAATGTGGTTGCTCGTATTCATGTCTTATTTTAGTCTGTGTTCTCTGCACCTTATGCTATGTCCACACTGATGAGTAGTAATGTCCAAATAGAAGCAGACCTGTAGAGTGAAACAGTTGGTGCTAAGGATCTGATATCCATTCTATACATATCAAGAGGTCTTACTTTAGGTTGGCTGTAGCCTGTTCCTATAGACTGAGAGATGCCCTTTATGGCTGGATTGCATAAGGTGTGCCCTTTGAGTGCATCTTCTGGTAATTACCATCCTTGAAGGGATCCAGTTTGTGTGCCTGTGACTGCTTCACCACACAGGCAGGGCATGGGAGATGAGGACTACCGAGAGATTGGCTTCAGAAGTCCTCTCCTAATCTGATTTAAAATGCTAATATAGACAGACCTTTTGTGGTGCTTGGTCTTCTGATGCTAAATGTCACTGAGGTTAAATACCTTTTCTAGTTCTCTCTGGTGTTTTTTCTGCTCTCTGTTCTGTGTATGGAGGAATTTGAAGACTTAGTAACCTTACCCTAGCTTTAGCTATTAGACCGCTTCTTCCTCCCTCTTCCACTGCTGTCCACACAGGAAGCACCACTGAAAGCCACAGGGAGAAACTGTTTCTGTTGCTGAACCCTTCCTCCTAGGATTTTCTCTTTGACACTGATGACCATCACAGTTAAGAAGAGGCATCAGGCAGATTTGGATCTGTCAGAGTGCGCAAAAGACTCAGTATTTTCAAATCTCTGCCCAAATATAATGTGGTTTTGGCCCATAAAGCAAGCTCCCACAGTGATATCCCCAAAGCTCATTTGATTCAGTCCATATGGCTCAGAACCAAGAAGGGCTTTAGGCTGAAGAAATCCATCTGCTTTTAAAAGGCCCTATCTGTGAAATCAGCACATAATTTTTCTCATCATTGAGCATCAATGAAAGTATCTGTCATTGTGGCACAATACATCAGTGAACAGATCTTGCTCATCTCTTTCATTCTGGCGAAGAGAGTGATAATTTCCAGCCTCTAGTATATACTGAAATAAGCTGTATGTCTACAGCTTGCATTTTTGTTACTGAAAACATAACCTCACTTGAAGGCTTAGCATAGTACAGGCTGTGCTAAGCAGTTGGAGCTCCACTTAAAGTTAGTGAAAACTATGAGAGCTCAGCATCTCTGAGAATCAGGTGCCAAGGGAGCAGGATCAAGAGAAAGCTTATTAAGGTTTCCCCTTACACTGTTGGCTAATAAAGGCCTGCGCAGAGAGCTCATGGGAAAGTCAGGATGCAATGCACATTGGTAGTCATCAACATCAGCATTAAGCAGAAGTCAGAGAAGACAGACAGCTAAAGAGCATTTAACTATAGGATGCCAGTGCTCTTCTGACTGTGGCCTTACAGTAACTAAAATGAATTTGTGTGGTCTTAGATCTGTCATTTTTGTGCCCTTATTTGCACCTTGAAACCAACATGCATTAGACAGCACAGTTAACCTTCACTGCTAGGGGAAAAAATCCAGAGCTGTGTTACTGTGGTAACTGAATCATTTTTCACTTTAAGACGGAGCAGTTCAATGCAACGTATTATGGAACAGCCCACTCTGGTCAGGATGAAAGATGCAGGATGCCTGACAGTTTGGCGCTCACTCTGTGGATGGAAAGAGAGCTCCCAATTAATGTCGTGTTCAGCTTTTAACTTGAATAATCATTGCTATAACTCAACAGAAATGTTTATAGAACATCGGACTGGTTGCCACATAGATGCAATTTTCAGGAAATGCCCGAGACAGGAGTTCTTACCGATGCTGTTGTTTATTATATATATTTCCAAGGATGCTGATCAGGGCTCTGCTATGTAAGGGTGTAAGAACCAAAAGAATATCTCAGCAGTAGAGGAAGCTACCTTCTCCTCTCAGATAATATTTCTTACATACACAGAAACTGACACAGAAGTTTTAGACTGAGAGAATTAGGGATGAGAATTAAATGGGAAATGGGTGCAGGACTATTTAAGTGCCTCTAAAATTCCCAAGTGTTCTTTGGGGGAAAATGGTGGTATAGAGGACTGGAAATGGAAATGTTTTCCCCTTTCACTTGTATATAAACCTAAATACTATATAAAAATGGCTGTAATCCACAGTGATTTTATTTAATTAGGGGAGGGGTGGAGGTTGTTCCTCTGTCATGTGAAGAAAAATCTCTCTTCTAGGCCATAACAATTGCCATTTCAGGATTTTGCAAAACAGATAAAAGTGAAATGGCTAATGGGAAATTGAGTCATTATTCCTGTTCTAACCCATTTGAGTTCATATTCAGTTGAAAAAAAAAGTCAAAAGGAAAATTAACAGGCTTACATTCATCCCTCCTGACAGCCCTTGACACAAAAATGATCTCCCCTTAACAGTTAAGCTCTCCTATGCTGTTTCCACTGAAGGGACATTAAGCTGGGGCAGTGAATTAGGGGGTTGTGTATGAAGGGGTGTGGGGTGTAGAGATTTCATGCCTTTTCCTGAGGGAATTTTTGTGCATTAACATTGATATAATGGTGCCTAGCTATGACAAAGATGAGAAGCTGAGAAATACATGTAATAAATAATGCACATAAACATGCAAGATCATTTCTAAGGGAAGTAAAGTGGAAGCCAGCCTTTTTAGCTCACGGCTAATGTGGTGGCATAATAAAACTCCTTCTGAGATGCTGTTGTCTGGCTTGACACGCTTTGTTTTTCTCCTTAACAGGGGAAGTGTTCTTGCAGATTAAAGGCCCACTGGAAGACACATATAAAATCTACTGCTATCGCCACGATGATGCACATGCCATGCTGGAATCCTATGAAAAGGATGAAGAACTGAAGCAGCATTTAAGACATTGTGTACAGTCCTTAAAGTAAGATCTTTTCAAATGATGATTTCCGTCCATAGTCAGTTGCCTGGCAGGGAACATTTTAAATGGATGTAGATGAAAGGTCCCCTGTAAATCCAGAGTTTTATGAGGCTTGCTGGGAGCTCTGGCTTATGCTGCTTTCATGAAAAGATGACAAGCCAGGGGCCATGATTAGATTTCTTTCTCTCTAAGATGGGCAAAAATAGTGGAAGAAAGGTTGCTCTTCCCTTAGCTTCAGTGCCCCATACTGGCAAAAATATGCTGCATCATATCATGGGCTATTTGGAACACCTTGCCCAGCTCTTAGGAAACATGCTGCCCCTGTCTTCAGTGAGTCTATTGCTTGAATTAAAATAGCCTGTAATGGCAATATTCACACCCACTGGTGGTTCTGGGCCCCTGTTGCAAGGCCCCAGGGGTCTGGAGTGGCTGTGTGGGGCTAGACCCCTCATGACAGGGGTATTTGTGAGCAATAAGCATTGGAACAAGCTGCCAAGTCCCACCAGTAGAAGGTGCTTTGTGCCATCGTCTACAGTGCCAGCCCCTCGAGGAAATGCCTCAAGAACTGGGGATGCCACAGAGTAACGGATCCATATTTCCTCCAGGGCAGCTTGCTTTTGCAACCAGTTGCAGGAACCAGCTTATCCACTCCATGGAAAGTGCTTCTTCTCTTCCCACTCATAACACTCCTTGCCCCCTCACTTGCCCAAAAGTGTCACATGGAGCTGTCAGGAAGGAATGCACCATGGCCTTTCAGGTCAGAGGTCTAGCTCCAGCTCCAGGAAAGGCTCGTGCTGTATGCTCGTAGGAGAGATGTAAAGCTCTTGCAAATAATGGAGTGTGCATCAGCAACAGATACTTCAACTGCACCTCAGTTAGTGATCAGTCTGCAGAGGTGTGTTAAGACTTAGGAGGTGGGAAATATGTCCAAGTGATATTTGTAAAGAGTGGTGGAGGAATATACTAACATTAAAAGAGAAATGTTCACTTTCAAGACAGGTAATATTGAAAATAAGGCTTACTTTGCGCAACATGTCCAGTTATTAAATACATAACAAAGTATATGCGTAGGGAACTTAGGCCTTAGTTACTGTGGAAGTTGAAAGAAATAGATTTTCATATAAACTCAGGCTTTCAGGCTAATGGATGGCCAGGTATCTCCCCTGAGGGTGTGTTTTAGTTGCTGATGCCTACAATATTCTTTTCCAACTAATCAAGAGAAGCCGCTACTGTCATTCACTCATCCCTGCTGCTGAGACAAGGGGACATGGAAGGAAATAAAGATAAAAGATAGCATCCACATAAGTGCTAGGGTGGATGCTGCCACTTGAATTCCAGAGCCAGCAAGAGGAGCTCCTGTTCCAACACCACAGCTGGGATTTGTGAAGAGAAAGGATATTTTATACTGAGCCATTGTATCCTTTGCTAGCAGGAAGTGACAAAGCCTTTCTCACAATGAAGCCTTGTTTTGTCTTGCTCTTTCCTGATTAGCTTTTCAACAAGAACCAACGAAAAAAGCACTGGTGCATGTATACTAGATTGTAGTTTTTTCCCAGTGCCTAAAGATTGCAGCCAGTTCTAATATTAAGACCTGAAAGTGCACACTCAAATTCAGAGCTGTGGTCACCTAAACCTGTTACTAATGATTGGAGAATACTTGTCCTAGGAAGAAAAGTATGCAGCATTTTTACCAAATAAGTTATAGGCTGTTTTCCATTGTGAGACATAATAAATATGGGGGCTGGTGACAACTATTATTGGAAAATGTTTACTTCTTAAATATTTTTTTTTCCTTGGAAAGAATATTGTTCCATTTTTATTTTAATTAAAATGGGCTAATGTTACAAGGGGCTTCTGTTCCTCAGCTGTGTAATAGCTGCCACATGAAAAACAACTTCTATATCAGGAGCAATTTGACAGTGGCACTCTGCACATCGGTACAGACAAATCAGATTTAATTAGCCATGCTGAGATTCCCATTCCTCCTGTTGATTGAAGAGGAGAAATTCCATCCCAAAATGTAGGTGTCTGCCTTGGAGACATGTGCAAATCCAAATTCTGTAGAGTCCTGTGTTTTAGCAGCGATTATGCAAACTAGAGATGTTGTTTGCTAGCTTAACCAAAGAAATGCAGCTGGTAAAATGAAAGGATGCTGGCAACTACCTGCTCAGCTTTCAGGCTGAAGTAGCTTGGTCAACTATTACAGGGGCAGAGGGATGTCATAAGCATGCAAAGTGCTGACAGTCCAAAAGCAATGAAAGCACCAGCTTCCAGATGCTCCGTTAGGCACCAGTGGGCAAGGAAATAAGACTGCAGGCACTCAAAAAGCAGCAGCTGACAATGTGATGTCACGAAAGCCTAATGGAGAGATGGAGCGACATTTTGGTTCCCTTGCATTTAAGTGAATACACACCATAAGGAAAATATTCTATGCACATGTTTCCAAACTACAGTTGCATGTCCCTGCTCCTTTCAGTATATGTATCAACACCATCCTACTCTGAAGAGATTTCAGTTGATGTATAGCTTACAAAAAACTTAACAGCTTCATGGATTCTATTTCCTAAAAGGCTGAAATATATTCTTTCTCATTTAGAAATACATTTCTATTTAAAGAGAGTAGACAGGACTGTATGCAAAGTGTAAGAATGACATTTAATTTTACTTTTTGTAAAGGACTTGATGTTACCGTTGTTAGCACAGTGACGCAAACTTCCTTCTCTAACAGTGTTAGGACAAGGCTGGGTCTTATAGCCAAAGCCAGGTTTCTGACAATCCTTTCTCATTTGGGGCTGTCCTTTCAAAAAGTTATAGGGACAGATTCACCAGTACCTTCTGGCTGTTTTGTGCAGTTCTGCTGACGCATAGCAGCCATAAACCTAGGTTAACTGGCCAGTTATGGCTGCTCTGTGTCACTGAAGTGTATCTGAGAATCTGGCCCCTGATCTGTATAAAGCCTTTTAGGGGGAATCTAATACTAATATACTAATAATATAAAAATAAATGTTTTCTTTTCTTCTCTTTTGCAGAAAGATATATGAGGAAGAGTAAGTACTATGCTTTTCTTACATGTAAAATATCTTAAAAATATCTTTATCTTCAGTATGCTTAAAACTGTACCAATGGAAATTTTAAGAACAGAAGCCTTTTGTGTCAGTATAACCCAAAGATTTTTCCAGGACATATGTGATAAAGAATCTCAGTTTTTATTTCCCTAAGCCTGTCTAGTTTTTCAATTACCACTGCACTAGCTTTGCAGTCTCCTTCAAAACTTGTCGCTTATGAAGCTGCTTAATTTGGTTACCAGTTCATTCAGAGCCCTTTATTATCACCTCACTGTCTTATAAATGTGCTTAGAGAGCTCTGAGGTCTGCGAGACCTGCTTGTCAACAACATAGTGTCAGTCTTTGAAATCCAGGTACTCTGAAATCTTTTTGCATAGGCCTTTGTAGAGCTGCTACAATACACATTAGGTTCACAAGTAAAGCTTTTTCTAAGGTGACAGTGCCTTTGGTAGCCCTATATGAGAAATCCACCTTAGGATCTCTGACAGTGTCCAGCCCTCTGACAGTGGCTGGAAGAACATCAGAAAAGAACAAGCTCATTGCAGCACTTTGCCAGAATACTCACCCAGCCACTGATTACTTGTGGTTAAGGGACTTCTGTTCAAAATGTGAACTCTTTGAAAAGCTATAATGGAGAGTTTATCACAGCTGCAGTTTCTGGACATCCAGCAGGTTGAGATCATTGAAATGCAGCATCTCCTGAAGTTACCTGCAGGGAGAGGTCAGAGGAGGGGTTAGCTGAACTGAAGAAAATTATTACAACCCCAGACAGAAATGTTAAGAGATAAAGGAGGAGCAAGTGTGCTCTATATTGGTAGGGGAGGAACACCTGTAAAGTCAAAGAATTTGTTAATCAGTCAGTCAATTGCATATCATAAATAAGATCAGTGTAAAATACACTTTGAAGGATTTGCAGGTTGAAATTCTACAGTTGGGGTTTTCAAGCTTTAGTCTATGATAGGAAATAGTTTTTATGCATTTTGTTTTGATAATAGACATTCTTGTATACTCCTGGCTCCCAAGGAGCGGGGCTCCAAGAGGAACAAAATACCCAGAGAGTCACAAAAAGATCATGTCTGACAGCAAGGCATATAGAAATAGCACAAGGCTGCTCTGCCTTGCGTAACCCTATCAGAAATTAATACCTAGTTTTCTCCTTCAAACACTTTCCAGTGGGGATATAACTCACTTTCTGAGTTAAACTGGCTCTTATAAAGCTGTGCAGAGTGCAATGAGCCAGGTTGAGCTGTGGGACCCTCCCTGAGCTTGGCCATCTCACACAGTGTGGTGATGTTTGCCTTCCCTGCTGACTGGCAGGGCACTCAGAAATGCCATTGCCTGCAACCCAGCTTAGAGGTTGCAGAGTCTCAGCAGCCCTTGGGCAGGACCATGCCCAAAAATCTGGTTAACTTTGAACTGGAAAATAACAGCGTAACTCACCCCAAACAGTCTTGTGATGTTGCTGCTCCCAGGTTGCTTTTCATTCAAGCATGATCAAGAAAACAATTACATAAATACCAGACAGTGCTGCCCTTTGCTAGCAGCTTGATAGGTTAAATTCTGCTCGGCTTAACAACTGTGCAGCCTCCGTGAATTCCCTGGGTTTGCATGAGTCTTACAGCCCAGTGAATTATTTGTCCTACATGTCTTGTACTGAAATGAATTCACACACAGTAAACCATGAAGCCTGAGACACTAAGTCATGCTGCAGCCTATGATGCTCACACACCACTTCAAAACCACCAGGCTGAATATGACACTGGCCTGAGCCCTACTGTACCATGCTGGCTATCATGTTTGCCTGCCACTGGACCTAGTTGCTGGGTAATGAGAGCAAATGAAACTAAATCCTGAATCACCTGTCTTTGCATAGCTCCCCACCATGTGTTTTTTAAACAGGTGGGAATCTTTCTGTATTTGTGACTTTGTTTTGTTGGGAGGAGGGAGGAAGGGTATGCTGTGAAGCTCACTGCAGTTAAGCCACCTGCATTTACTGTAGACCTACGGTAATAATTTGCAATAAGATTAGTACAGCTACATATGATCTACAGTACTTGTTAAATTCACAATAACATGAGGGGGAAGGCTGAAGTAGCATCACAAATTAATTATCAACTTAATTTTCTGCACAATAGATGTCACAGGCCCTTACTTGCCTGTTTTGGTCCCGTGGCAAGGCTGTGTCCTGCCTGGCGGCCGGGTGCATCCTAACGGGGCACACTGCAAACGGGACTTGCCCAGGGAGAGTGGCTCTCATCAGCTCATCTTGCTGGGGAGAATTTGATGAGTTGAACTTTGTGGCATTTAGTGCCCCAGGGAGTCATTATCTTATAACAAACCTACTATCTCTCGAACCATATTGTAAGACTGTGTCATGCAGATATGCAAACAGAGGGCTGTTTATCACTTGGGCAGCTGTCCAAAGTGCAACTATATAAAGAGAAGACACTTGAAGATTTTTCCATTCACAAGGCAGCTTTTATAGATCTTTATTCATGGGGCTTTTCAGAGAAAACAATAACAATTTAAGATTTTTTTTTTTTCATTACTGCTGCCAGAAGCTGAAAGAAGGGAAAATAGCTCTCTATATTTAATGTAGGATACAGGGGAAATGAGGGGGATTGAAATGATGAGAAGGTTTGGGGACATCAAGAAGCCTTAAAAGGCATCTACTGTTAATTTTTTTTCATGCAGAACTTTTTTTACAGATAATGCCTGTGCAAGAGAGATGGTTTAAATATGCAGATGTCTCTTTTCAAAGGCATTCAAATTGTTAATTAGTCAGCAGTAAGGATTGGCTCTTGTACTTTTTATACATATAAAAGTGGGAATGAAAGCTTTTTTTTTCTCTTTTACTCTTCCTGCTGCACAAAACAATAGATGTCAGCCTGTAAACCAAGTAGCTGTTCCCTGTTTTTTTGTACTTTCCTTCTACATTGTATTATCCCATCTTTCCATATGCAGAAATGCTTCTTCGCCTAGCATTAACTCTTGCATAGTTAATGTCAAACAACCTTTTCCCCTCCAAAGCAGCCTTTTCAGGCATGCAAATGGAAAGCTTGCTCTGCTTTACTGCCCTTCACACGGCTACCAACAGCTCACGCTTGGTTTCAAAAGGGAGTCACAGGTAGTTTGTACCAGCACGGGTGCTAGAGTGTTGCCTGGTTTGCTCAGGAGTGTCCTGTAAGGAGGAGAGAGACAATGGGGAGAGACAATGGGCACATCTGTCCTGCTGAGAGAGCCTCAGTAATGGCTGCCCTGGCCCTAGAGCTTGGCCACCTGGTGTTACCCACTCCAGGGAGACCCCATGTTTCCACCAGCCACTTGGAAGGTAATGAAGACACATGTGGCTTGGTCCTGTCCTTCCCCTGTTTTCTCCCAGGCTGTTGTGACGGCCTGCAAACTGCACAGCCTCTCCCATTCAAGCCTAGAGGGTATGAGCAAAGACTTTTGTCCAGAGTGGGGCTGGAGCATGGATTCAGCTGGCTGGTAACTGCCTTGCATGGAGGCCAGAGAGCTCAGGTGGCCTTGATGGCCCGAGCTGCTTGAATGCGTGGCGAAGCTGGTCTGCTGCCCTAGCCAAGCCAGGAGGGATCAAGCCTGGAGCTGCAGAGCACTCCTGTGCCCATGCTGGAAGCTGTGACTTTCCTGCCCTTACCCTTCTGCCACCCCAGGCAGCTGCCTGCTTTGCCTTTGTGTAAAGTGACTTCCAGCAGGTTGGATCAAGGCTGGGTGAACATCCTGAATGTTCAGCATTTCCCCAGGCCAGATCTGGTATCCTTTGGAAGCTCAGGCATCGTTAGAAATAACCTACTGGCAACCAGAGAAGAAAAAAACACAGGTAAAAGACAGTAAAGCTTAAGGGTCACTGTGGCGGGTTGAGAGATGTTGTGAGAAGGGATGCAGCCATCAGCGGGCATCCCGCTTACTTGCAGCAAGGAGATGTTGCAGCTTTAAGCCTGAGGGGCCAGAGCAGGAGGTAAGAGCCACGCTCACATGCATTTATCAGACTTCCTGTTATTTATTCTTCCACCTACATCTCCCTTCCTGGGTGTTGTGCTGTGTAAGTTGTACCAGATGCACCCCCAGACTGAGTGGGACCATTTCAGAGGTAATGTCTAAGCAATAGTCTGGCAGATTGCTGAAGACACAGAAAACTCAGACCCGGTCTGTATTTCTCACTGAGGGGGCGAGAGGAGGGTTTCGTTTACAACGGCCCCTGTTCCCTAACAGATGTATCTTATTTTTTGACTTAAGTGGTAATTGCACTTCTATGACTCAGTGCAAAGCACTGCTCTGTTTTTGACATTTTCTGTAGTTGAAAGCTCAACTGAAGGATATAAAAGGCAGCAGCTTCAATGACTAGACAGAAATAATAAGTTTTTTTCTTCAAAGAGTTTCTCCTTACATGACAAATTTTTTTGTATAAATTATAGAGGAAAGCCAAATCTAATGGACATGGGATCCCTGATGATCAAACCAGTGCAACGGGTGATGAAATATCCCTTGTTACTCTCTGAACTCTTGAATTCAACTCCCGCTTCCCACCCCGACCACAAGGTGCTACAAGATGCTCTTTTTGCAATGAAAAACATTAATGTGAACATCAATGAACTTAAAAGGAGGAAAGATTTAGGTAAGAAAAAGGCACAGTAAATTCTTCAGTCTTTGTAGCTTAGGGCTGGCAATTACAAAAGAGGTTTGAACTCTAGTCATATAACTACAACAGTTTTGGCTAGTGCTACCCAAACTGGGTTTCAAGAAGGTAACAGATGCCTTAATGTCACTTGTCCTCAGCCAGCTATGTTATCTGACTGGTATCTCCAGAAGTAAGAAAATGATGAAAGAATTCATGTTATATCTGTGTTCATTGTCTGTAATGCAGCTGCAAACACTGATAATAATTAAGATGCAGTGATAGCAATATTTCTTATAGACTTGCCATGTTGAAGCCCTAACTTCACTCTTCCCAAGGCTAGCACAGGGTTTTCATCATCTTGAGCATTTTCACACAAGACTACAGCAAGTGACATCAAAGTGTCTGCTCTCAAATGGTTTCGTATTTGTGTGCCTGTCCCTGTGAAAAGCCCTGTGAATACAGATTATTAGTGTCATGAAATTCTCTGTCTGCAGTGCTGAAGTATAAGAGGAATGATGATGATGAAACCCTTAAAGAAAAGTTTTCCCGACTGAATATCCACTCCATCAGTAAGAAATCCAAGAGGGTCACCAGCCATCTGAAAATACTGACGGGGGGAGAACCTCAGGTACCTACTCATCCAACTGCAGATTTGCATTGACAGCTTCAGTTCTGCTTTTGCACTGGGCATTTTTTAAAACATGTTGGAAATGGAGTTTGTGGTGTTGCTTTTTTTTGACATCATTTATAAAGTCATTTTCTGACTGTCACAGAAGACAAGAGAGATCTTTATGATTGAAATAAAAAATAACGTAACACTTTCTCCACCTTTTCCTTTTTATCTAAGAGTTTCTCAAACTTCTGATCTTCAGCAGAGAGGAAGTGACTGCTAGTTTTGTGAAACTCAGCCTGAGATCAGCTTTTTGTGGATAGACTGACAATAATTATTGTGACTGACAATAATTATTTAATTATAGTTAATAATTAATTCTGAGCACTGGCAATAATTATTGTCAGTGCTCAGAATGAGTTCAATCCATCTTGCTCTGAATCTACCGAGGCAGATGAGCAATACTTCTGATTAGGAAAGGCCATAGGGTTTGCCTCTGCATTCACAGGGACCTGGAACCATCAAAACTACCAGAGGCAAATAACCCTGTGATAAGTCCAGTGGGTGCTGGGTGAACAAAAATAAAATGCTCCTTCATAATTAAGAGGTTGTAATTCAAAACCTAGCAGGATAAACAAGTTCAGAAAAGCTTAAATCTAAATCTCAAAGGAAATCAATTACAACTGACCTTGAAAATTATATCCAGTGTACATCACTGCATGAGATGCCTGATTATACAAGGTCACTTGTCTTTCTAGATGTGACTTTACAAGGTACGTGCTGTTTTTTCCTGTTTTGTTTTTTATCAGTGGTTTCCCCCTTTCTCTGATGCAAACTACCCACATTTATTTTTTCTGTTCATTTATTTGTACAGTGGAAATTTTTTTATTCAGAATGGGACTCCAGCAAAGCTATAAAATCAGAGAAAAACAGGGAATTAAATTTGATTGAGATGTGATTTTTATTTTTTTCTTTAGAGGCTTCTGTTTACTGGTGGGGTTTTTTTGTTTATTTTTTTTAATTAAGCTTCAAACATTTGAGAGTCATTTTAGAATCAAGATACATCTGTTACATTCAGCCCTCTCTCCTGCTTAATTAGACTAAGTTCCCAATTCACATCTCTGAAACACGCTGTGACCCTTACAGCAAGACCACTGAAAATGAGACTTGAGATTTCTCAAATTCCTCAAGTAAAAGGTAGGCAGAAATAAACGTATTTTCAGGGTTTTTTCCAGCTAGCATAAAAAAGTAGTACAATCCAATTTCCAGCTGCTGAGGTTTCTAGCTGAAGAGCTGGCATTGCTCTAGAGGTAACAGCTCCACCTACAGCCTGTCTGGAGGAAATCTCCCCATCACCCACAAATGAGCACTCGGGGGGGTAGTGCCGTGACATAACAATATCTTACAATTTTCACCATTGTTTCCTCAAATGAAGCAACAACATACAGAAAATGAAGAAAACACGTGTGCTTGTATTAAAGCAACTCCCTGCTTTCACAAGGATTAAAAATTAAATTCTCTGTCATCTTGCCCTGTGCTTTTGACTTTTCTTGGATTAAAACTGGAGCTTGGGAAAATTAGGGGCCAATCTGTTCTGTTTTCAAAGCAAGGAGTTCAGAGAAGGTTTGGGATTTTTCTAGCAGCACTCTGGATGTTTCTTTTGTTAGCCAGGCTCTGTTAGGCTGCCAAAATAACAATGCAATCATCTATTTTAGGTAAAAGATCGAACTTTTAATAAGGAAGAAAAGTTGTTTCGAAGTTTAGAGAAGACTGTGAAATTGTGTGTGAAGAATATTTCACTTTCCTCACAACATCTACAGGTAGGTAAAGGCCTTTTTGAAAACGGCGCCACAAACCATGTCCATAACTTGTTTAACACACAGTTCTGCCACTGATTAGGCAACACCAAATTATTTATAAGCAGGCTTCTCTACATCACAATATTGAATAAATGAACTGTGCTGCTGCATTACTGAGCCCGTGGCAAAGAAGTTTTAAAGTGCACACTTCTGCATTTTTCCCTTACACAAGCGGGCTCTATGGAGACCCATGGGTGCCGTGCAGAAAGGAAGGTGCTCTCTGGTGGCACGGTTACTACTTTCAATCACTGTGGGAAGCCATCACAGGGGTCATGCACATCTGCTGCAGTGGAGCATCAGCTGCTTCTCATTAAAAATGGAAGAACTGAGTTGCAGCCACACATTAAAATGTCCTAAAATATATATTGGGATGTGAGGACTCCCTTCCATCATCCTGTTGCTAGGTTGTGTTGAGTGTTAGCATTAGATGTACAGAGTGCTCAAGTGTTGTAAATGTCTTTGCTTTAATCCTCCCCTCAGATGATGTGGGTTGGCTTGTAATTTACCAGCTTTTCCCTCATATGGACAATTTGCCAACTTTGTAGATGGTACGAGGCCCCTCAAAGCATAAGTGTGCCCAGAAAGGACACAAAATTTGTCTGAGAGTTAGGTAAGATCAGTGGCCAGCTGGCCAGAGCTTATCACAAACACACCTTGTTTGGTTCAGCTAACACTGAAGGCCAGTGAGCTCAGCCAACAAGGGCTGTTGCCTGGAATGGTGTTGACAGTTCTTTATCCAAATGGATGCACACTTCATTAAGATTAAAATTAAGAGCAAGTGAAATACACCACTGTAGTCCTACTTAGTCCTCCAAAGAGTCCTGTGAGGGTGCATGGGTCTGGAGCTGGCTTCTTGCTGAAGAGTCGCTAACTTCCAATGGGACATTCATTAGGTTGGGGCATAATTTTTTCACTTGAACATTAACAACTTAATTCTTAAATAGTTTACATTGAAAATAGACAAAGCATAGGAAAATATTATCACAGTAAACAATCCCATAATGGCTAGAAACTGCACATGTCAGAGATGGAAAATATTTCTGATTCCATCAGTATTATTGCAGTATCTGCATGAGTGAATGCAGTATATTAACACAGATTGTAATGTAGTTTAATCTTCCTACCGTCTTCTCATTTAGGATTCCATACATCTGGCTGCACAGAATATAACTGGGCTTCAGGAAATCTTGCAAGACAAAGATGAAGTCAACGACTGTTTGAAAAAACAGAACACTGCAAATCTCTGCGAGGACCTTGTAAGTTTATGCGACGTTATTGTTACACAGCTACCTGTATGTGTGAGAAAACGTGTATGACGTGAGGAAGACTCAGGACAGAAAAGAGCAAAAACCCTTAGAAATCCATTGGGAAAGATGACTGGGTTTTATGGTTGAGTTTCTGTAAGAAATAAAATTCAGTGTAAGTGCACCGTGTTTTCCCTAGAAGAGCTAAAGAAAACTTCTCAAGCTAAACTCCTGGGTTTAAACTAAAATCTTTGTGCTAAACTTGCACGTTTCACCCAAGCTTCAAACAAAAGCAGCGTATCTTTGCTTTTCTACTTTTGCTACAGACACTTACAGTTTTAGAGTGACGTTTGTGATCTTTGTTGTGCTCATGAATTATTAGCTCCTGGAATCAGAGATCTGTGAAAATATCAGCTTTATTACCTTTTCAAGTAAGTTACTGTCCTTCATATAGGGAAGCCATGAAAAATCTGGATAGAGCCCATAGGAATTAAAAGCAGTTAAAAAAAATATAATAGCTTTTTAAACTAGTCTTTTGCTTTCAGGGTCCAAATGAACTCTAATGCCTGGCTCTGCTAAGAGAGATGAAAATGTCTCTTCAAAATGGGGCAGGCTGCTTCTTCAAACAGCTGCTTAAACTGGAAAAATTCAGAGGTGGAGGTTTTCTTATATTTACCTAGGTTTGTGCAGACTAAAATGTATCCATTCAATCCTTTCCAAACACTGAAAACAGTCTGCCAAGAAACAGAAGGGTCTTTGACAGACCACATCCTCCTAGATAATGATAGGGAAGTAAGATGTCGTATCTCCTTTCCTTTGAAGTTCCTGCATTTAAAAAGAATCTCAAAAATTAATCTCAGTAATCAGAAAGAAGTTTTCAATGCCTTTACAATGAATGAATGCATAAAGTGCAAAAGAGTTCCCCTCTATCATTGCAGTGGTGAGCGTGTTCAGTATGGAAGATGCCCCCATATTCAGAAACATCAAAGAAACAGAAGCAATTCTACAACAGATGAAACGGAAAACTTTTTTTCTTTTTCCAGAAAAATATTTGTAACTTCTATTGGCTCATGACCCCGCTATTCTGAAGGTCTATGTAATTTTAAAAAACTCCCATCTTAATCCTGTTATTAACCATGTTAATTTCTACTTATTACCTATTTATTTCTGTGCCTTCTACTTATTATCTATTTATTTCTGTGTGTTGGATTTACAAGATTACAATGATTCTCTATCTTAGGTATATTTTCTTTTAAAAAACCCTTTTTGTCCTGACATTGCGCAATGAGTAGCTTTCTCACTGAACAACCCATAGTGTTCTTCACATGTTTTCCTGAAAGAGTATTATCAATGGAGATCTCAGCAATGGGCTCAGGTTAATTTATTTTTTTTTCCTTTGTGCATTTGTCAATAATTAATACCTTCCCTTTTAGGGAAATTTTTAGGGCAGAAATCCACAATAGCCTCCTCTCTTCCAGAAATCATGTCCAGCAGTTTAGAAAAATCGTTTTCTTAATGCATCAAACATTGGTTCACTAAACACAGCCCAGTTTTCAGGTGGAAATAAAGTAGGAACTATCTAGCCAATGCACATCATCTTGGCCTTGGGAGGACAATTCTGGTGCAGATGTGCTACAGAGGGTAGAGGGACAGCTGCTCTTTTATTCTCATATTCAACCCAACAACTTAATTCACATAGAATGTCCAAGAGCTTTAATATGATGACGAGTTTCATTCACTAGAAGCCTGTGCTGTATTTGAACAAGTGACTTACAAAAAAAAAATTATTTCATGCAATATTAATCCCTTGAGACAATTAAAGACTAATGGAAGTCTGAGAAAGACTTTGTTTTTTTACCAGGTGTCTAATTTTGTTGATTACTAGAGATAAAACCAACAAGCATAACATAATTTAATCAAATCAAGTGATTGTTTGTGTTTGCTTAAACAGGAATTGAGTTACAGCTGTTTCCAGAAAAAAAAAGAAAGCTTCGCTAGCATTCCAGACTGTAAGGCTGCCATTTCACAAGACCTCATTGCCTCTAGACTGTATACTGGCATAGGCCTTCCAATTGTGGAAATCCCAGTTTTATTGGACCACTTCACTGCTCCTTGCCCTGTTTTTCCTCAGTGGTAACACACCAAGGGCAGTACTGCAGGCTGCACGCTCGAAGGGACCATTAGCATTACCAGACACTTTAAGCTGCAAAACCATTACCTCTCCTTTGCAATGTTATGAAGGAGATTCTAACTCGTGCCTGACTCTGACTCTGCCTCTAACAGCAATGATTTGTGAAGAGTAATTAACAGATTGCTTGATTGGCTGCCATCAGACTTAACTTGTACTGGGTCTGAAGAACTGTTTGAATAAAGTAATAAGTAGGTCTGTTTTATACCTTTCCAGATGGCTCAGCTGGACAAGCTTGTTTTGACTCCTCTCTTGGCACTACAAGCCTTGTTTTCAGGCCCACAGAAGCTCATCCAGAAGCGCTATGACAAGTTGTTGGACTACAACAGCTACCTTCAGAGGTCAACAGGAGAAGAGCTGGACCTGGCAAAGAAAGACTATGAGGCTCTAAATGCACAGTTAGTGGAAGAACTTCAGGTATTCAACAGAGCAGCCAAAAAGATTGTGTTGAACTGCCTGCACTGCTTCATCACCCTCCTTAGGAATATTATGTCTGCAGCACTTCAATCAAATTCTGTTGTGGTGGTGCCTGTTCCAGTAAGTACATTAGAAACAACTGTAGCTGTGCCTGCCTTTGTCTTTTTTTCTTTCTGTATTATGATTTGGCTAGAGTTATGTACACAGGACATATACATACAACCTACACTGATTTTGTTTGTTCTGCTGAGCACAGTCAGGTTTGGTTTGGTTTGGTTTTTTCCTTGCAAGCTCTGCACAGGTTAAGTTCTGACCTTAAGTTTTGTCAGGCCTGGACTTTTCATAAAGGATAATCCTTACGCAGCTGTTCCAACCGTTACAGTGATAGTAATGGCAAGAACATTACAGCAAGGCAAAAAGGAGGCAGGTGCTACCATTTTAGTCTTTCTTTCTTAGTGTCTATGCTGAGTAGCCCAGAAAACACGGGAAGAGAAATTCTAAGAAAGTACATGAACACTCCTGTTACTGCTAGACCTGCAGAGTCACAGATGACTGCAAAAGGGAAGCCAGTTAGGAGATCTGATTAAATAGTTTCTATGAAAAGCAAGTTGCTTTTAAAGCCAAATACACTGTAGAAGTTCCTGTAGACATCTCTAGGCAGTAAGAAATAGCTTTGTCAAGCCAAAAGTACCAAGGGTGCCTATCTGAATTACAGAAGGGTTTAGTTCCTTTAGCCCGCTCTTTCTGAGCGCTATGATCACTACCTGAAGATTGAAGTTGAGAAATTATTCTTAATTTGTCTGAAAATCATACAGTGTTTCAGTTTTGTTGTACTTTTGCCTAGAGGACTTCAACCCCCTGAGAAACACAGTTGCAAGAATGCCTTCTACACTTCCACTGACCTGAACTGGAGCAAGACCGTATACAGGAAACATGTTGTATTCAGGCAATTCTGTATTCCTTTCCATCAAGGCTTGAACACAGCACTGTATAGTCAGGGGCAGATGAAAAATTAAGAAAGCAAGGTCAGGATCAAAACATAAAGCTGTGCTGTTTAATGGGAAAATGAAGGCTTTTTCTGCATGAAGAAACTGCATGCCTGTAATTTGACCATTTCACGTTTTGAAAGCTGTTGTAGCTAACATTGTTTCTTGTGAGGCTCTGCCTACAAAATTACTTTCTTTTGCTTTTTTCTGTTTAAATCAGCAACTACATTTGGGGTTAGGCATAGACCAAAAGCACTTATCCAGTGCCACAGACAGCTTCAGTTTACCAAACGACTTTTGACCTGGTGGCAGCACCCAGCTGCACAAACACACAGCTATAGGGTAAACTACTCCATGCTTTACAGCACATTGGCCACTCTGATAGCTGCCAAGATGCACATTTGCATCTGAAAGCAGGTGGCTCAGTAGCATAAGTGCAAGGCTGTTCATTTTTATCACTCTTTAGAATATTTTTAAATGATTTAACCTAAATTAGTATGTCTCTTAAATCTAATATCAGTCATTAGAAACCTTCTTTAAGCAAGGACCTTTCTTTTCTTTCCATCTGGTACCTAGCACACTACGGGCTCTGTAGAAAACAGTAACTTGTCAGATTTTCTGACTCTTCGAGTTCAGCCCATTAAACCAAATCTGCTCTCTCAAATCTCCTTACCATTTTGTTCGAGATCTAACCCACCTTTGTGTTTGCAGCTGTCTTCCTCAAGCATCTGTGAAGTGCAGAATCAGTTGATGGAGGAGGTTCACAAGCTGAATTTTGTAAAAGAAAACAGCAGTGCAACCTTTATTGAGAGAAAATTGAGCCTGGAAAAAAAGAAATCTGTCCCCTCTCCGGTGAGTGCTATACATCCAGATTGCGTATGAAGTACCCTGTTTTTATTGCTTTTGACACAAATCCAGTTTTATGCTACCTAGAGGTTTGGGCTTGATCTTTGCACTGGGACTCTTGAATCAGGTTGTTGGAATGAAGCTGTGCCATTGACCAGTAACTTCTGAAGATGTTTCATTCTATTTTCATGTTATCTTGAAAATCCACTTGAAATTATCTCCGATTACCCTTAGGTCTTTAAGCACATACTAAGTCTAAGGTTGTATTTGTAAAATTTGATTACTTCTTTTGTTAAATACTCTTACAGTCCTCATCCTCGGGTGTGGTTATGTGTACTGGTGTTTACACACATATGCACACACATACACCCTCATAGCAGAAGATTCAGAAAATCCACCAGGAAATCTGAGTCTTCCTGGTCCTCAGTCTTATCAGACATCTCCAGAGCTTTTAGGAGTCTAGTCTACAGTAAAATAAAAGATCAAGCACGGATTTACAGGAGAAGCTGAGGAAGCTGTAAGATGCCTTTTAGCATCAGTAAGGCACAGGTACTCTGCTTCTCTGGTATAAGATCACTTTGATGTGCAGCACCTCCCTCCCTACCCTGTAACCAAAATCTGAGTGAATATGCTTCCAGCAGTTAATAGCACCTTGCCCTTATTTAGCAAAGTAATTTCACACAAAAAGAAGACTGTTTGGGTACCACTGATTTTTTTTGCCTAATGCCATATTGTGTAAGTTGTTATGTGACCTTAGCATACCTCAGCAGATTTTTGGATTATGCTTTTTTAAAAGATACTACATTTTGTGATATTACAAAGAGCATTGCTATGGAAAAACAATTAAGCAAGTGACAGTTCACATACAGAACACTGGCTCTTTGAGAGCAGAAGACAGACGAAGAGCTGTTTAATTAGTGAAATTTCTACATTTCTTTAAAATCTGCCCTTTATTGCTCACCTATTAATGCAGCAGTTGGACAGGTCCTTGCTGCATCCTCAAAGGTTTGGTTACATACAGCTGCGTAACTCCTTGATCTGTGTGTAAAAATGTGAAGTCAGTTGCCACATGCAGGATACACTGTATTTTATGCATCCATGTTGCTCTAGAAATGGCCTGATAATTATTCACAGTGGATAATTTTTTTGCTTTTCAGCTCGAATCCCCACGTCAAACAGAAGGTCACAGGTCCAAGCTGTTGTCTACGTACAGCACAGACTTGCTATACCAAGCTAAGCGCAAGTGCAATGCCACACAGGAATTTGATATTGATTTACATGAAGGAGAACTGGTGGCTGTTGTGGAGCAAAAGGACCCCTTTGGAAGTACAAGCAGGTGGCTTGTTGACACAGGGAGTAAGTACTCTGCACAAACATCCCAATAACAGCTTCCCCTTGTGTGACAGCTTAACTGAGCTGGCAGCCAAACAAG